GTTGTCTTGTATATTAACCAAGCAAGCCCGTGTGTTACAGTTGCGCAGATTGGAAATATTAAATGGGAATTATCTCTACGTCATACCCGCAACCCCATCCAATTGCGGGAAGTACGAATCAAATGAGAAGGAATCAACATCTGCAAAGAATAAGGCGATGTTCGCGCGATAGATGCAGTCCCCATCCACTTGTACGACCAGGATAAGACTTCTTCTTCTTCTTAACATGCCATACACCAAAGTGCGTAGGCGACTATCTCATTACTAGAATTCTGTTCTTGGCGGCGTGACACAGCTCACCTGTATTGTGTATTCCTGTCCATTCTTTAATATTCCTTAACCAGGATAATTATTTGTGCCGGCTCCTCTCCTACCTTCGATCTTCTCGTGTAGGATTAACTGTGGTATTTCATATTTTGCTCCTCTCAATATGTGCCCAAGGTAACCAATCTTGCGTTTTTTAATTAATTCAAAGAGTTCTCTTTCCACGCCGGCTCTATTAAGGACGTCATCGTTTCGAACTCTATCCACCCAAGGTATGCGCATCATTCTTCTCAATGACCACATTTCAAATGCTTCAAGTTTGTTGATAGATGTTTTTTTCAAAGTCCACGTTTCCATGCCATAAAACAAGATGGACCATATGTAGCACTTGACCATTCTGTAGCGTATTTCGAAGTTTAGGTGTTGATTACATAGGAGCGGTCTGAATTTCACAAAAGCTTGTCTTGCCATTTGTATTCGGGTTTTATCTCGTGTTGTGGATCCGATTGGTCATTGATTGTGGTGCCAAGGTATTTAAAAGTTTTCACGCGATTTATACGATTGTCACCTATGCATATTATCGGATTTTCTGGAGGGTTTCTGCTAATGACCATATATTTCGTTTTCAAAATATTGATTTTGAGGCCATATTTTTTACCTATGCTTTTCACCCTATCAAGTAATAACTGCTGATCTTCCAAATTATCAGTTATAATCACTGTGTCGTCCGCATAGCGTAGATTGCTAATTGGTATGCCGTTCACCTTAATGCCTAATTCCGTATCTTCTAATGCTTCCGCAAATATATTTTCAACATATAAATTAAAAAGCATCGGAGAGAGTATGCAGCCTTGGCGGACACCTTTCCGGATTTCAAATTCATCCGTATATTGGTCTTGATCAATCCTCACATTTGCCATTTGGTTCCAGTATAGATTCTGAATAATTCTGATCTCCTTCTGGTCAATGTTGGCCCTATGTAGTAGTTCCATCATGATATCATGTTTAACATTGTCAAATGCCTTCTCGTAGTCGATGAAGGTGAGGTAGACATCTTTTCGTTGATCTAAGCAGTTTTGTATTAAGGTGTTCAAACATAAAATTGCATCTCTTGTTCCTAGTCCTCCCTTAAAACCGAATTGTGTTGACCCGCTAAGTTCTTCTAGTATCTTGTACATTCTTGAGTGTAATATCCTAAGGAAGAGTTTCAACAAGTGACTCATTAAACTGATTAAGCGGTGTTCATTGCATTTTGTGGCATTAGCTGTTTTTGGGATCATCACAAAGGATGACTGCAGCCATTCTCGCAGAATGTAACCAGTATGAGACTACATCCGATTAATAACCGACATTTACCATCATCTGATTCCTGAAACTAGCTTAAGTAGTATATTGAATATATTATTTGTCACTGAAGATCGTACCTTTTTGTATTATCGTATTGACCACAGTCATATCATGTCCTTAAAACTTTTCTCAGAATCATTCATACACGAATTTACAAGAAGTGTGAGTTTCAGATGAGTGACACCCAATACGGATTTCGAAATGGATTGGGAACACGAGAAGATCTTTATACCTCAAATGTGTTAAAACAACAATGTAGAGACATTAATGTAGATGTATATGTATGTTTTATTGATTATCGAAAAGTATTTGACTGCGTTAACCATCAAAAGATGATCGAAATTCTGAGAACAACTGGAATTGATAAACAAGACTTGCGAATTATTTCAGAATTACATTGGCACAAACGGCAACAATTGAAATAGAGCATACAACATCCGAAGATATACGAATCCATAGATATACATTAGAAAGACATTCTTTCTAATGTCCTAATATGTTGTATAGAGGCCATCGCATGTGCAGAAAGTAACACCGTTATGACATTACATTGATAATCCTATAGAAAGATTTTATAATTCCCAAAATATTAGAACAGAACAGAAACTACAGAAAACTGGACAATATTAACTGTTATGAATGTTGATACATCGAAATAAAGTACGTGAAGTACTACATAGGTAGATATTTTTGTAAGGAAATGCGGAAAATACTACACACTGTATTTTCTTCCTACGGATCTCAATTCAGTGACTTGCTAAGTTTGATTTTCCCAGTTTACCCGCACCTAAATGTTCTGTTTCACTGTAAATGACAACCTTCGGTTGCATAATTTTCTCCCGAATTTCTTTTTATTGTAAGTCCAAATCAATCACCAGTTTTTCTGTATCTGCTATAATTCTGGTTGTGGAGAAATAATAAACCGAGTGATTTTAACTCTTAGTTTAATATATCGACTATATATGTGCTTTTTGTGACACCAAAAGAAATTTGATGTAGAATATTGAAATAATATGAAATATATGTGATTTGGCAATCAAATCTCAAGGCTACCGATTAATTCAGTCATTATACTTTCCTATTTGTATCAAACTGACAGAAAGGTACCATCACAGTGTTATTTATGTATCATCATTATCTTATTATTGCTTTTAATAATGGTTATGATCCTAACATAAGCTTCTAAATAGAGCTAAACTAAAAATTGCAGAAAAGCTTCCATATTCATCACAGTCTTTTCAACCTAATGCTTCAAATAACATCAGATATTTCTCCTTCACTTATATTAGCAGCATTTCCAATAAAATATCTAAACTTTTTACTTCTACAATTGATAACATCAAAATTCCGTTCAAGTCACATAACACTTTAGGTTCCTTCTTAATCAACACCAAAGATAGGATGAACACACTTGATAAAAGTGGTATTTATAAATTAAAATGTGATGATTGTGATACCTCTTATGTAGGCAGAACCATTAGAAAGCTATCTACTAGAATATCAGAACATTTAAAAAGACCAAACTCTTCAAGTTTTGGTCAACATTTAGAGTCTACCAAACACAATTTTAACATCAATTCTGGTTCATCTTACATGACATTAGTAGAAAGAAAAACTATCTGGAGTTGGATTTATTGGAAGATTTGGAGATTACAAGAGAAACAAATGAAAACTCTCACTGTCTTAATACTCCAATTAATTTAAATTGTACTAAATTTAAACCTATTTTTAAAAACTTTATTACAACTTCACCTCGTAGAGGACCCAGCTGGACGGTTTAGACTTCCTGCACTGAGTATTTCCATATTAATTCTATAGTTTTCCATTGACTGTGGATTCAACTGAACTACTTGGATTATAACCCATTCATATATTTTGCTTTCAATTTTGATTTTAATTTTAGTAATTTAATTGCATATTGAGTATTCTTCTTTTCTACAGTACTGATAGTGCTTGGTAGACCATTTTATTCTAGTCAACCACCCACTATATAATATATTGTTTAGTCTATTTCTTGCATTCATACTTTATGTCGACTTAAGTTGCCCTCAAACTAACACCCTAATTATTGTTTGAGTGTGAGATCTGGATTATTGAATCTATTTAAAAAATATTCTATATAATTTTATATTTAATCAGTTGGCTTCCTATCACAAGGTGCAGATCACATATCTATGATTGTAACTGCCCTTTCCAAGCTGTCATTTGTCACATGTCATCTCAACATTTCCGCTAGACCGTGAGCCATTCTGTCTCCGGCTTCTATATACCATGTAGCTTCGCCTATCTTCAAAATTTTAAAGTGTTTGTTTGTCTTTGTGTAGTGTATTGTTATGTCCCATTTTATATTTATGACATTCCACTCTTGTTGGATAGGTCGCAATTGACGAAGTAAGTCTATAAACGTTAATCACATAAAAACTTTTATCAATCATAAACTTCGAGATTTTATCGAAGTTAATTAATTTCTTTAGTTATAAAAAAACGTTTCTTGGCTTATTTCAGATGATCTAGTGATCGAAAGTACTTGGGCAAGATTAAATTAATACTGTGCTCGATATTTGCCTTGTATATTATCAAAGTTCATTTATTCGAGCATTCAACCTTATATCAATCTATCAAATTATCTTATTTAGCAATAATATAGGCTATACCTTAAATATACATTGTTTTAACGACAAACTTACTTGTCGGGTTAAACTACCAACTTTTCTATTTTGGATAACATTTAAATTGAGCATTTTCTTTGGACAAACATGTGCTTTTTTAATTACCTTGACTCTGGAAAAACAGCGAGGTTTTCGGATGAAATGGAGTTTGTGTAAAACGGTTCAAAATATTTTACCAAAATTGAAATTTTAATTAATACAACGTTTTCGAAAAGCTTTCAAGGATATTGTGAATACATCTCACTATAATAAGGTGCTTTATATCGATGCATTCCGAAACCTAGATAAAGTTGGCTGTTCTGCCACTACAGTTAATACAGCATAAGGACAACACCGAATATCCAACGAATACAGCGTGTTTTCAGAAGAACTCTTCAGTATTTCAAAAGCTCTCGAATTCCCTTTTGACAATCATCAAAGGGCATATCTACCAATTCTTTATCAGCAATTCATTCGTTAGAAAATATTTTCAATCAACATCAGCTAATGCAAAAAATACTATAATAGATCCATATCCACACTTCCTCAGAGATTTCAATAAAAATAATATGGGTGCCTTCTCATATGGGCATCCAAGGAAATGTGAGCGAACTTATAAAAAATAAATTGTTATTTTTTTCTCTTTTAATTATTTTTGTAGACTCAAAAGCTACGAGCTTAAGCCCAGATATACCTTAGATAAGACTCTTGAACAATCAGTATAAATACACAGAGCCTGGCCTGATAGTCCTGGTAGCTAAGGACAAACAAATGAATGAAAGACGAAGGCTGCTGTATGCTGATCTGAATAAGACAACAGCAATTGATTAATAACGACGCGGGTACAAGTGATGAGCTGGACATATAGCTGGATGAGTCGATAGTAAAAAGAGTTCATGTTTCCTGTCTATAACACTTGGGCTTCTTCCTTGTCATGAAGATTGAGCTGAGTGTTATCCCGTTCCTATCCTGTACCACCGGTTTTTATATATTGTAAATATAATATTCATTCGAACTTTAATCCCGGGATTAAAACCAGTTTGACTGACAATTGCTGAGTTTCTTACTGAGACCTTTTTGGTCGAATACATAAAGCAAACCAGTAAAGAACATTTGACCAAAAATGCTAGTCTTAAATGACTTACAGGCTTTTTAATAAAACTACTAAAAGTGTGGTCCTCTAACTAAAGAAAATTTGAGCATTATTAAGAGACATATAATGAACTTACAGAGCGAACTAGAGAGAACAACGCAATAGGTAAATAACACCAACAGTTCTTGTTATGTGGTAAGACAAGAACAACCAAAACAACCTCGTATTAGTATCAATATCGACACAAATAAAATATATACATATCCGATAATGGTTCGTGCTGATGACAATGACAAAATAATGGTTTGACTAGCAGTCTATTTGATTTTCTTTTATGCATTTTGGTAAAATATTTTGGAAAAACTTAGAAAATTAGTACACACGTACCAAACATGTCGTGGAAGGCCATCAATAGTTATGAATTCACATAACCAATCATGTAAAATTTTTCATAACCTAGAAAATTTTTATCTTTATTACGTAGGATTTTTTTTTCGAGCGTAAAGATATTGCTTATAAAAAAATCAGTCACTTCACTTTGAAAATGAAAGTTTTAGGTCAAGTTTATAAAAACCCTACGTATATCCGTTATCGTTAAAGGTGTTTATTCGTACCATTTGGGTTTGATTTGCTTGAACAACCATTGTTGGTAAGCGTTGTTGATATCGCAGGGCATCAGACTGAGGTGGGAATTTTGCGGATGTAGCGCCATGCATTTTTTGTGAACCCTAGAAACAAAGAACGTAAGGTAATGTTAGAAAAATATATAAAATTACTAAAAAGTAGTAAAATGCGCTAGTTAATACTTTTAGGGGATAAGTCACAATGTGATCTATAAGATCTATCGTGATTTCCTTCACCTGTATTTTCTGATAGTTTTCATAGTAGGTTGTGGCTTTCTTTTTCATCTTCAAGTGCTATCTCCGTTACAGAGATTACCACTCATCTTTGCCAAATTACCTTTTGGAGCAACTGCTTTAAGGAGTTAGTCTTCAACTTGCAAGTCAAGTCAACTCCAAGTTAGTCACCTACTTTCTACACTCCTTCTGTATTTTGTCTTACATTATGAGCAGATTACAAGTTTTTTTTGTTATTATCTTTTCAACTTTTTCTTTTTTTGTCCACTGCAGTGTGGACGATACTGGTAGACGATTTGACATAATTAAATGTTACACTCTGGTAACCATTTCAGTGAAAACCTCTTGCTGCTGCATTTTCGATTCTGGATGAGTCATACAGAAGTTATAAAATTGGCGCCTAACGTGGGGCCAACACGTTTCCATCATTATCCAATCCTTCCTGAGGAATTTCTATTATTGTCCAATACTTCTTGACGAATTTTCCGGATTTTTCAGTCGCTGTTACCAGGGTTTTATTTGTAGAAACAATTTGTGTTGGAGTTTACTATTACCAAGTTTGCTTAAAACTTTTCGTCTCTGAATTCTTACATGTTTTTGATACAGTGATAAAAAAAAAGTTAAAAAAAAAACTACCAAATGGTTCCGTATTAGCTAAATTGAAATACAGAACCAAAACTTGCTCCATTCCCAATTATTATCGTTTCAATTGCAAGCTAAGTCAGCTATTACAAGAGAGGTTAAATTAAGATATCGCACAACGCTTTAGAGTTGAATATTACTCTATATTGGATTACACCATAGTTTATTTACCAATTACATTTATATTTGTTTTGATCTTTCGATTTCCAATCTAGAAATCGATTTTAAAGAATTTCAAAATAAAAATTATAAACATCTTTTAACCTCTTAACATTTGTAATTGTTGTGGAACTTTTTCAAGGAAATAATCATAAATATAGCTAAAGAACAACAAGAAAAACCATAAACGAAAAAAACGAACAAATTAAACTGACGAATGAAAAATGGACGAGCAAATTAAAAAAACAAAAACAAAGTAGCATGAAAAAGATACTTATATATAATAAAATGGTTGACACCTACGATATGTATAAAAAAAGAGTTGGTTATAGCCGCAGAGAAAAATAAATGAAGGAAGTTTTAGGAAAAACCGTAAAGAGAATCAGAAAATATTCTATGACGTCTTAAAATGACTAAGAAAAGACGAAACCTAACAAATAACATACAGGTTAAAGGAAACAAAACATTGACAGAAAAAATGAAATAATGAAGAGATAGAGCGAGTATTTTCAAGATCTGTTAAATACTACTTAGAGAACAAGAAGAGAGATATGAGACGGAAGAAATTATAGAAGAATATGATGAGGAACAGATAACCATCGAATAACTAAAGGAAGCAATCAGGGTGCTAAAAACAGAAAGCACCAGGTAGCGAAAAATTATAAGCAGAAATGATAAAATCATTGAAGAAACAGCAACAAAAATAAGGTGTATAACATAGCTTGAAAGGAAAAGAAGGTTCCAAAGGATTGGCGGATGGTATCGATAGTACCTATTTTTAATCTTTTGACGAATGTCGGTATGCGGAGATGACCACCTTTACAAACATTTCTTTTAAACTTCTCAGCGGTTTTACAGCCATACCAGTGTGTAAGATTGGTTGCCTATATTATATTCTAAGTGTCTAACCAGTTTAGAACCAATTTGATTGAATCACGTTGACTAGAGAACATAATTAGTCAAGCACACATTTGAAGTGGACCTTCGATGTTGACAGAACGACATATTTTAATTGTTTTCTTGTTTATTCAATTATTATTAATTACAAAAATTACGGGTAAGTGATATTTTTAAAATCTCTTGAATGGATGAAATTCCAACTGACAAAAAGTCAATTGTCTCTGATATTGAAAGCACCTTTGGAGAAGAATTTGATGTTGATGAATTTCGGCAACCAAATAATAAGGATGTCTATGACATTGGAAATATGGAAATCGTGTTTGAAGACCAAATTAACTATCAAGAATTTACGCAAGTGGAACCGTTAAAAAAAGGATTTACCAGAGTTTAAAAATGACAAACAAATGAATCGAGGACATTCAGATTACCGTATTTCAACAGATAAACTATCTGTGTTGAAGTGGATGGATCGCAGAAGTGTAATTCGTTTATAAAATCACCAAAATCCAGTAACAAATGAAGTTGTAATAGAGAAGACAAAAAGACGCTACTCTGAATGAGGTTTTATGTCCACAAATGGTGGTGTTCAGATATGGGATATGTTGACAAATTTGACATGCTGAAAAGTCTTTATGAGGTGAATCGTGAATCACACAAGTAATGGCATAGAATATTTTTTATTTTGTGAATCCTTGCGTCGTAAAAGCATTCATTCTATGTCAACTTAGAAGCCAATTCAAAAGTATGTCTTTCAAAGAATTCCGGATATCTGTGAATAGAGGCCTTATTGGAGCTCCAGAACAATTAAAAAGGGGAAACCATCAGCAGAAAAACCAGTGAGTTAATTCAAAAGGCATATTCCCTTGGAACTGCGTCATTCAAAGTCTTCTCATATGCTCCAAAGACTACTTTTTTGAGATGTGCGAACTGTAGCACGGCAGCAAATGTTAGCAGTACACAGTGGAAATGTTCTTCTTGTCGGACTTTGTTTCAAACATGACAAAAATTGTTTTGCAGCGTTCCATGCAAAACAATAGGAACAATAGGAAGAAAGAACTGGTACCTGGTTTTTATTTCTCATTTATTTTTTTTACGCTATGTTCCTGCTGGTAGCTTGAGAATACCACATCCTGCAGGATATACTTCAGGATCAGCATTGTTTATTTTGACTGAATTTGTTTTAAGAATATAATAAAATAAATAAATTTCACAAAAATCCTGTTTTTTTTAAATTTAATAAAAATCGGGCTTCAAAGGGTTAAAAAAAGGTGACAAAGATTGTAATAATTATAGAGGAATTATACTTCTAAGCATTGCAATGGAAATATACTATGCAAACGCACAAAGCTAAAAATTCAAAACACATTAGAAGAATAATTACAAGGTGGATTTCGAAAAAAATAAAGAAGCACACAGGATCACATATTTTCAGTGAAATAATAGAGAAATACTAACAACAAGAAAATATATACGTTAAGGCTTTTAACCCAGATATTACTACCGTCCTTTTAAAAGGCAGTGTAAATTATGCGTAATTTAGGTTAGTACAGCTACCAACTGATAGATGGCTCTAGATGGAGTGTTTTCAAGAGCCAGCATTCGACAAGTTTTAACGATTTTAGTGCGCGCACATGCTGTAATTGTGAGGTTATCTGTGTAAATTGCCAGGTTTTGGACTACAAAATGGATGCTTATAATTGGAGGTAAGTCTACAATTAAAAAACTGTTATTTCACGGCATTGGCATGTGGATTATTGTATAATAGGGACTTATGTACGTATATTCTTGGCTCGAATAGTTGTCACGTTGTTTCAAAGGCTCGCCGCTTGGGATTTCATTTTGTTCTTTTAAAAGGACGGTAGTAATTAGTACTACCAACGTGCGTATTGTTTCAGGAGGCCTCTCAAATTGCATGAACTATTAGAAGAGCTTGATTCTGATAAAATCCCAGTCCCTCCAGATGGATTGATCATATTTCCCCCAGAAAATGCCAATCATGATGTCACCGATTGCGACTCCGGCGATGAAGAACTAACTACAATAAATAATTTACCGGGTAGTCAGATGAGAAACGATGTAGAACTTGTTTTTGACAACGCGACTGAATTACCACAAGATTCTGTGAATTCCAGCCTACCAGAAGAAGATTCGGATGATGACAATATACCATTGGCTTTGTTTCTTTCCAAGAAAAAGTTGCCCCATCAATTAGAGAAGAGAATATCTGCACACTGGATTAAAGGAGACTTGTATCAACACCCTGATTGTACTTACTGGAAAACTCAATTTGGACCGAAAATGACTCAGTCGCCGATGGAAATTTGCAATTTGTTTTTTGATGATGAAGTCATCAATTTGGTTACCGAATACACTAACATCTACGCAGGACAAAGAAATCTTTTGAACGACATTACTCAAAATGAGATTCGATGTTTTATAGGCGTTCTTGTATTGAGTGGTTATGTGGTTGTGCCGAAAAGGTACATGTACTGGGAAAATCGTGACGATTCGCACAACGCAATGGTGGTAGCTGCTATATCTAGGGATAGATTTTCCCACATAATGAAAGTTTTGCATGTTTGCAATAACTTGTCATTAGATAAATTTGATAGATTTGCCAAGATGCGACCCCTGTTCGACGTAATAAACAAAAAATTTGTACAATTTTCCCCTTTAGAACAACATCACAGCATAGATGAGGCAATGGTTCCGTATTTTGGTCGCCATCTCACAAAACAATTCATCAGGGGAAAACCAATCCGTTGGGGTACAAAATGTGGGTAGGAGCTCTTCGTCTGAGATACGTAGTTTGGTTTTCTCCTTACCAAGGTAATTCCACTACAATACCTGAACAATATAAAGTCCTTGGATTGGGTGCATCAGTAGTTCTATCCTATGCAGACAGATTGAATGAAGTATGGCCTCAAAGGCGATTCCATCTTATTTTTGATAATTATTTTACTTCTATTCATTTACTGCATGAGCTAAAACAAAGAGGCATATTTGGTACAGGCACTGTAAGGGAAAATCGCACCATGAAATGCCCTTTACCCTGTTCATCTATTATGAAAAAAACTGAACGTGGTAAATACGAGTATCGTCTTGATAAAAATACAGGAATAGTGGTTTGCCGCTGGCATGATAATAATATCGTTTCTATTGCTTCCAATTTTGTACCAGTAATGCCTTGCTTCTCTGTAAAGAGATTTTCACAAGCAGAGAAAAAAACATATTCAAGTTCCTCAACCAAATATTGTTAGAATATACAATAACTTCATGGGTGGCGTTGATCGCAGTGACCAGAACATCAGTTTATATCGAGTGTCCATAAGAGGAAAGAAATGGTATAAGGCTCATTGCGTTGATATGGCTATTCAAAATGCGTGGCAGATTCACAAAACTCAAGACGGTAAACTGGATCAACTTGAATTTAGAAGATCTATTGCAACTAATATTTTGGAAACTTTTAAAAAAGAAACAAAACGCGGATCTTCTAAGCGGAATTCGAATTCGGTAGCCAATTCAAGATATGACGGTATTAACCATTTGGTTCTTTATCAATAAAAGCAATCGCGATGTGGATATTGTCACAAAAAAAGTCCAGTTTTTGTGTGAAAACTGCAAAATACCTTTACATCCAAAATTTTGTTTTAAATCCTTTCATTCTTTGTAAATTGATACTAATAAAATATATATGATATCTGGTACCGTATATTACTACCGTCCTTTTAAAAGAACATGTCAAAACTTGACAGGTATCGTCATAAAAAAATATATGATTGTGTTTTTTGGTTCCATATGCTATAATTTCCATGAAAATTCGAAATTAATTCAAAATGTTAACAATAAAAGTTTCAGTAATATCTGGGTTAATAAAGTAACAAGAGAAAAGTTATGGACAATATTCCTTACTTTTGTCTGTGAGAGTATTAGATTTTGCTCTTACTTACCTATGATACATCGTATGAGTATTCTCGTCGTATATCCACGGCCCGTCGACAGTTCCCAGTCGACAAACTGTCAATTTCACTCCTTGGCCGTCCGCCTCAACGCACCTTTCCCCGACCCCAAGTTGACCTTTGGCATTCAGTCTGATCAACTGGTTGTTACCGTAACCGTGGCAATGCTGAACGGCCATCAAAGACGGCGGAGCTTTTCCTAAAGTATCTAAACATTTTGAAGCTGCGACAGATCTAAAATGACGGAAAACCAATGGAATTAAATCTTATTGGTACACAATAGCTTAATAGATGACAAGCAAAGCGTTACCTTAACTCTCCAAAGTGTACATTAGGCGGTGGTACTGGATATTTATCCAGCACATCATAGGCCACGTTTTCCATATACCACTGGAAGCTGTGGCAACCCAAACGATTTTTTAGTGCCAATTGGTCATCGATGTTTCCCATATCCAAATATTTTGCCATTGGCTCTGTTTGAAAAATAAAAAGATATATCCAAGTGTTACATTCAAATAAGAAGAAGAAAAGCAGTTGTGTAGCAAAGTAAAATATTGACTAAGACAACTTAGGATATCAATTAATTCATTTTAAATGATAAATCCTTGTTGACCTGTAATTTTTTGCTTTAATACATACACATACATCTACATATGAAGAAACGATCTTACCTCTTGTATAGAAATATTCTTTATAGTCTGAATCAAACCACGTCTCTATCACTCTCTTGTAATTAATCGTTATTAGAGGTCCCTTCTTTTTCTGTGCCAATTTTCCGAAGTTATAAGGCATGAAACTTCGATAAACGTGACCTACTCTGGAACATGGAACCCATTCTATGCTACCACCACACTGCCAAATCTTAAAACTTAACTCAAAGTTTTCCCCGCCCCAAACCAACAGACCTATAAGAAGTAAATAATCACTTAAATATCCATCTTTATTTTTGTTATATTATCGCTAAACTTGTAACTATATAAATTGAGGACCTACCTGAATCGTAAGCTCCCAATTCCAAAAAGTACTCTCTGTTAATAGCGAATAATCCTCCCGCATGAGTAGGACTCTTGTACGGTTCGCTATTGTGCTTCCTCGTCTTCAATTCCCTATGAGGCACTTCGTTTTCTTTGTACAACATTCCCCATTCAAATATGCCCCTAAAGTGTCGATCTTCTCCGTATACCGGACGGTATTCAAAGGTTTTGTGGTCGATGCCATCTATAACGGGAACTGTCATTGTTTTGTGGTCTCTCAGTATAGGGGCAAGAAGTGGGGGTAACCAGTTTGTGTTTACTTCACAGTGAGCATCTAACAAAACGAGAAAACTCATATTGATAACTTTTTTGAAAAAATGACATCAAAATAATAAAATTGTCAGTTGATGTCGAATGTATTTTGTAATATTGTAAAGTATTTTGCCGTTTATGGATTGTTCAATGGATCGAGGTAAATTTATCGCGAATATGTGGCAATTGTCACGCTATAGTGTAAGAGATATCGTCAGAAGAAAAGACACTTGTGGTAAGCTTCAAATTGACATTTGTACTCCAAGAAAATGTACAGTTTCTACTAGATTAGGCAATAATGCTGGAAGTACTACATGCAACGATATAAAAGAAGTGAAACTCTTTGTATTTTTATCCCCTTTTAGACTGACTGATTCAGTCACTAAACTATAAATTAGACCAAGAAAGCATGCCTCCAATCTCATGCTTCCAAACACAAATTGCATGCCTCTACAAAACAAACTTTGGAGAAACAGATCTTAGAAAATTACTTTCTAAGATATAAAGTTATTCGTCCGCTCAGACCTCTTCTATCATATACTTTTCTTGCAATATAAGATGTATTAAACCCTAGAGCTGTTAATTTCTCACTGTGTAACACAGATACTCTAACTTGTTCTTTTTTTTTAATTTTCAATGCTACTTAATTCACTTTTGTTTGAAAATCATCAGTCAGAAAATTCTTTCTTCTTCTTCTCTTCTTAGCCTTCTATCGTCCATGTTTGGACATCTGTGGTCTTCCTCTTGGACACTTACTTTCTTAACATCTCCAATGTTGTATTGTGGTATTCCTACGTTGGTCTTTTTGTCTAGAAGTGTGGCCTGCGAAGCTCCATTTAAGTTTGGCAATTTTTGTTGTTATGTCCTCGACTTTTGTTTTTGATCTTACCCAGTCGTTCCTCTTTTTACCTAACATTGCTCTTTCCATTGTTCTTTCTGTTGTGGCCAGTTTATTCATGTTTGCCTTGGTTAGGGTCCAAGTTTGACATCCATATGTCATGGAAGGATGCATTGGTTGAACACTTTGCTACTCAAGTATTGGGGTATTTTGCGGTTCTTAAGTATCCAACTAAGTTTTCCAAATCCCGCCCATGCTAGTCTTGCTCTTCTAGTAATTTCCGCACTTTGGTTCTCTTTATCAAGTTTCAGGATATCTAACTAGATATATTCCTGGACTTGTTCTATTTCACTACCATTTATAGTTATACATCTGGGGTCATCTCTGTTTGTCATTATTTTTGTTTTTTTTTTCATATTCATTTTTAGGCCGACGTATTGGGAGCTGCCTGCTAGTTCCCCCATCATAATTTTCAGTTCCTCGAATGTGCTCGCTATAATCACTATGTCGTCAGCGAATCTGAGGTGGTTTAACTTGTTGCCATTAACGTGAATGCCATAGGTTGACCAATTTGTAGTTTTGAAGACGTCTTCTAGGGCTAAGTTGAAAAGTTTTGACGATATTATGTCTCCTTGTCTCACTCCTCTCTTAATGGGGATGGGATTTATATTTTCGCCTATTTGTACTATCAAAGTTGCATTATTCTTTAGTGAGTTTAAAAATAAAGTGGGGATCCTATTAACTTTTAACAAAGTTCATGGATCGAAATTGTCGAATATAAAGCATATAGATTTATATCATAAGTAGTTGTTATAAGAAATACTTGCTTTGGCTATCATATTTTAATAGTAAATATGCTTTTTCCCTCATAGCTTTTAATTCTGAATTCGAATATGTCTTTTTAAAGATATACATATAATATATGGCTATATCTTTTTATCAATTTATTGGCTTAATCCTCAATATACACCTCAATAATCTCCCAGATCAAATAAAAATTACTTACTTATTTATAATCATAGGTTAATATAATAGGTGGTATTTTATTAATATTTCCCAATAAATAGTAATTGATAAATCAAAAAAAGGAACAAAACATGTTATAATACAAGTGGTATCTTTAGCTTATCTAATTTATCATATTCTGGTTATCATATAACAAACAAAATAAAATAGGAATTTTCCCAAGAATTAAAAACAAACTATGCCATTATTGTACATAAAAAGTAAAAACATATTGACCAATAAAACAACAATATTTATTTATAACAAATACCATAGATAAAATGTATAATATGCAAATTAAAAATTGCAAACAATTGACAAATGAATACCAGCATACCACCATAACTACTTTATCATACACATAAAGTTAAAAGTTTTTGTGAAACAAAATTACATACATAAATGTAGATAAGTAATATAAAGGCAAAATTGAATCAAATAAATTATATAGTATAAAAAGAAGGCAAATAATTTTATCCTAATTAGGAAGGCAAATATTTTGACATAATAAATTTGTAAAACTACAACAAAAAGACTGAAAAAATAAGCAGATTCCTATTCAGATATAGTTAAGGATAAAAAAGGGACTTAATCTTTTAATTGAAAATCCATGTGAAGGAAAACCTTTATAAATATGTATCAAACCAAAGAGATAAAATGCCATAATTTGATAATTTTTTGGGTATTGGTCTACTGCCGACTCTTCCCTTGGTTTATATCCAGTTAGTCATCAATATTGTCAAAACAACTCATCTGATATGTTCTTCTTTTTCTCTTGTACTCCTATCGTTGCCATTTTATTATCTAGAATAATGTAAAGGATCTTGGAAGTAGATTGTGGACCAAATTATCCAAAACTTTAAAGGCATCACAGAAAACTGTCAATATTTATTAAGAATAATGTAACACAGTATATGGCATTTGTATGAAATAAGTGGTTATTATCACAAACCTTTTTTTGCATAAAAAACATTATTTTTACAACAAATCACTTACCTAGGAAAACAATAACTTCTCCTCTAGCTTCTTGTGCTCCTCTAGACCTGGTTCTAATCAAACCTTCCCTTTGGCTATTCCTAATAAGTCTAATTTTTCCTTTAAATTCATTAATATTGCTTTCAAGTTTTGATTTCAAATTTTCTTTATCACTAAAGTCGTCTACCAATAAAATTTCCTTCAAAGCATTTGGAGGAGATCGATTTATTACAGAATGAACTGTTCTCATCAGTACTGATAAACCTTCATTGTGGAAAACTATGATTACACTAGTGCTAGGCAGTTCTTCGGGGTAGTCCCAATGTTTGCATTCCTCTAGTCTGGTATCTTAAATGTTAGAGATACAAATAAATAAATTATCCCAAAAATTTAAACTATCTTCTCATATTTTATGAGTATAGAAATAAAAATAAATAAATAAATATATAGTTAGTTACCATTATTTTAAAACTACAACAATGGTTTAATGAGATAAAAAGAGAGCTTTTATTAAAAATTAAAATATCGAAGAGATCACTTGGTTAGAGTTTCTTCAAATAAGGACTTTTTCTTTTTTAAGATGAGATTTTAAGATTAGATAAGATTTATTCAAAAAATTTCACATGTTTCTTCCCTTTAACAGTTTCTTCATTGAAATTAATATTTATGTCAGTATTTTTCTTATTTTAATAAAAATGAAGTGCCACAAAATCAATCTTTTGAATGTCTAAAAACAATTTGAATGTTGGTGTTGTGTTGAATCAGTTGTTTAAATTTAAAAGTGACCCGTGGATTGTCTCTTGATGGAACATTATTGAAACATTGACACAAAAAGGACAAATAGCTTCAGCAGAACACCACTTCTGGTATAAAACAATTAAATTATTCTACTCTGCTCATTAAATTCATTGTAAGGCTCGTAACATGATATAAGAATATAAAACATTTAAAACTAAGATACAATATACAAAAAAGAGTTTTGAGTTTAGTTTTCTCACGATTAGGTATAAAATCCAAAGAAATTAATTTTGTAAGGTATGGACAGAAATTTTTTAAAACTCTCATAAGCAAAACAATAGCAACCCGTAGCAGTTTCAATTCTCAAGTTAAATGTCAATTACATATTTATGTAAATTAGGTAATTATCTTAAGAAACTAGTAATTTCAAGGTCAGATTATACAAATTAAGATAAAGATGTATATTTACCCAATATAGAACGATCCAGTGATATTTCATCTGAGCAAGCAACATTCATTCCATACTCAGATTCTGACTGATCTGCATCATTCTGCTGCTCTTCTTGTAGATGATGTGGTTGACCATTCTCTCCAGGTCCTTCTCGTTCTTCGACATTCTTAGGTTCAAAATTTCCTAGGCCTGTAATTAATTTAGGAAGTTTCGCCTGTGACAATCTTTGTGCAATGGGGCTGCTGGCATCATATGGATCCTTTTGGTATGAATTTAATAAATATAATATTGACAACACGAGGATACCAAAAATAATAGTCCTAGATTTCCTTCCGCACGGCAAACTCATTTTTATTATCTACTTATGTACTAGAAATAATTTTTTTCATTGAAAATTTTGAGTAACTTGAAAGGATGACTGTCTTCAACCCTCAGTACACTTACTAAAATATATTATCTAGCAAATATACAACCATATCTCAAAGGAAGTTACACTCCTAAAATATTAAAAAACCAATATTTGTATAAAAATTTGCACTTCCAGCTCTTTTCTAACTGACAACTCAACAAGACAACACGTAAACAACACCGGTAGGTTCACGACGTTCACATTTCCATTTGTCATGAACTGTCAAATATTTAGATTTCGCCAGGTAGTTGGATAAACAAATTCACATTGCCGGCATTTCGACCTCTAATCACCGAACAACGGTTGTTCGGTTTCGGTGCTCTAATAGCAGAGAATGAAACCACATGTAATATAAGTTGCCTATACAGTAGTTTTAAATTTGATTATATTATTTTAGAATACTTTTTGAACAATGATCATTTTTTTATAAATGATCCATTGTTACTTTAATATTTTAAAACAGTAAAATTGAAAAAAAAATATATTTTTTGCCAGAGGCAGTTTGGTAAATTTTTGTACCAAATTTGACAAACGTTGACAATTGACAGCATATTGTAGAGCACATTGTAGAGTTGAGTTGACGTTGATTTGACATTGTTTGACATTCTAAAATGCTTGTGTTATCAGTGGACTGTTAGGCTTAATTTTTCGTATTATATTTAGTTGATGTGAATAAAGATTGAATAAAAGTTAATAATGGATTTCCAAAACAGACCTGGAGGAAAGACCGGTGGAGGCGGGGTCGCCTCTTGGTCAGAAACTAACAGGGATCGCAGAGAAAGGCTTCGACAACTTGCTTTAGAAACTATAGATTTACAAAAGGATCCCTATTTTATGAAAAACCACTTGGGATCATACGAATGTAAACTTTGTTTGACGTTGCACAACAACGAAGGTAGTTACTTGGCCCACACTCAGGGTAAAAAACATCAGGCTAATTTAGCTAGGAGAGCAGCCAAAGAGGCTAAAGATGCACCTACGCTTTTGCAACCAGAGAAACCCAGAGTAGAACCTAAGAAGTTTGTGAAGATTGGTCGACCTGGTTACAGAGTAACTAAGCAAAGAGATGCTGAAAGTGGACAACAGAGTCTTTTGTTCCAGATTGATTATCCAGGTAAAATAAATTATATAGTGTTCACATTATGTACAAGCAGTATGTTGTTGATTTTAGTAAATACAAGAATACTAACATTAGATTTAGAAGTAAAACTTTATTTTTATTTCAGAAATAAGTGATATGATTCTACCTCGTCACCGTTTTATGTCAGCTTATGAACAAAAAATCGAACCCCCAGATCGTAAATGGCAGTATCTCCTTTTTGCAGCAGAACCTTATGAAACAATTGCCTTCAAAGTACCAAGCAGAGAAGTAGAGAAAACTGACAGCAAATTTTGGACTCATTGGAACAAGGATACTAAGCAATTTTTCTTACAATTTGCATTTAAAAATGACAATAAAAGGACTGTTAATACAGTGGTCCAAAGACATACAATTGTTGGTGCAGCACCACCACCCCCAATGCTGCCAGTTCCACCACCACCAAGACCACCAATGTTTAATCCTATTCCTCCACCACCACCAATAATGAGAACTGTATTACCAGTGCCTCCCCCACATTAATTATGTTAAATCTGTAATATTCAGAATGATTTTTTAATCTTGAATTATAGTGTAAGAATAAATTTGGAATTAAAAATATCATTTTCTTTTGTTTGGTTATATTGCCTATGACCTGTTACCTGTTCTCATTAATTAACTTCATATAGAGCTATATATAGTGCTTCATCAATATCTATAATAAACTAGAATTATTTGTATAATTTTTTTTGTCATAATAATATCCTTATTGATGTAAAATCTTGCTTTATACCTATTTAGGTACTTTTATTCAATGGTTAAAACTATTTGTTTTGCTGAAGAAAATTACTGAATTTTTAAATATATAAAACTCAATTATTTTTTTATATTAGGTGGTAGTTTATTAAAGGCTTTCATGGCTATACCACAAGTGCTTTTTTGAAAAAAAGGCAGTTATGTGATCTGGAATTTTAATAGTGCCTCTATTGTGAGTAATCATACTTACAATAGGGGTAGCATATTGAGAAAATACAGGAGTAGAGGAAGGGAAGAATTCTAGGGTGCTCGGTAAAAGAAGTGTAAGTCAATTTAGTCAACTGTTCAGTTGAAGCAAAAAATGAAAAATAATTTTGTTTCGAAGCAAATTAATTTCTCATATCTCCTAAATCATAGTACACAGAATTGTGACATATCATTTGGACCAGACGTACCAGATATCTTATACTATTTTGTTCACTCAAAAAGCTGTTGTTTATTAAAAAAATAAATAAAACATAATTATACATTATTTATTAAAAAATGTCTTTATCCGGATCTAATGTCCTTTTTCTAGTGGTTTTAGGTGGTTCGGCGGAGTCTATTTGGCAAGAAGAAACAATGCCAGATGAATGGAAAGAAGGGGTTATTGTACCAATACACAAAAAAGGAAACAAAAAGCAATGTATTAACTACAGGGGAATAACACTCCTAAACACCACCTACAAATTCCTTGCAAACATCCTGCTAGAAAGAACCAAAACATACACAGAAGAAATCATTGGAGATTATCAATGAGGATTTAGACCGGGCCGCTCTACAATTGACCAGATATTCACAATAAAACAGATAATGGAAAAATGCTGGGAGTTTGATCGTGAGCTTCATCAGATGTTCATAGATTTTAAACAAGCATTTGATAGAGTATGTAGGGACAGACTGTGGACAGCGATGCAGGAACTTGGCTTTCCAAAAAAACTAGTCCGGTTGATACGGATGTGTATGGAACGGTTACGATGTAAGGTGAGAGTTGGACAACAATACTCGGAGACATTTGAAATTAACAATGGACTAAAACAGGGAGATGCACTTTCACCACAACTCTTCAACTTAGCTCTGGAGCACATAATCAGAAGTGCAAGAATCGAAAAACCGAATACAGTATTTCATCGAGAAGGACCAAACTTACTACTGGCATTTGCAGACGATATAGATCTAATAGGAAACACGCGATTAAGGATGAAGGAGACTTTAGTAAGGTTTGAGAAGGAAGCAGAGAAGATGGGGCTCCAAATCAACGAAAACAAGACGAAATATATGTATATGAGCCGCAATAACCAAAGCAGAGACAGAATCGGTCAAAACATTACCATCGATGACTTTAACTTTGAGCGCGTTAGAGAATTCAAGTATGTTGGAACAACAATAACTGAAGACAATAACGGATCACTAGAAATAAACAACAGGATTCAGGCCGGCAACAGATGTATTTTTGCCCTCCAAAATCTTATAAAATCAAAACAACTAACACGACGTACGAAGATACAGGTCTATAAAACAATCATACGACCCGTTGTGATGTATGGAAGCGAAACGTGGACGATGACAAAGGCAAATGAAGAGAGACTACGTGTTTGGGAAAGAAAAATCCTAAGGAAGATCTTTGGTCCGGTGCTTGATAAAGCATCAGGACAATATAGGATAAGAACTAATAAAGAGCTTGAAGAACTTTACCCAGACGCCAACATCATAAAAGAAATAAAGTCCAGAAGACTCCAATGGGCAGGACACCACAGAAGACATTCTGACGAACGAACAGTAAGACTGGTGTGGGAGGAAGTCCCAACTGGAAGGAGACCACGCGGACGCCCTCGTCTCCGGTGGCGAGATAATATAGCAGGAGACCTAAGCACTATGGGTGTGGAGAATTGGATGGAGGTTGCTCAAGACAGAAAACAGTGGAGGCATGTTGTCGAGTCGGCTAAAACCCACGAAGGGTTGTAACGCCACGGAGTAAGTAAGTAAGTAAGGAGTCTATGAGGCTAATATTATATGCAACACGTTTTTTTTGCGATCAACCGTAGACCAATATTTGTTGAATAGCTTTTTTGTAGCTATATATATATTCTGAAATTTTGTTATTGCATTTATTTCTACAGGCTTCAAGTTTTTCATGCAGCGTGCTAGTTTTACCTTATTTTTTTGCTGTTACATAGGCTTTTCCAAAGTTTCGATTTCTTTTACGTTCCACTCTTTTTTTCGTGAATAAACTCCTTCAATGTTGGAATCAATACTGATATTACCTAATTCAGATATCCTTTCTGTATTTTCAAACCTAGAATTTGGAACAGATTCTATTTTTTCTTCAATAGACTCACTATAAACCGGCATATAGTTTTCATCATCGTCATTATAATCATCTACATGTCGACATATACTATTAGAGCCAAAAATAATTCACTATAACTCGAAGTGTATAAAACAGTATAAGTTGACATAAACTGTTTTTATCAAATTAAAAGTTTATTTAACTGGTTGTACTAAAAAGACCAAATAATTTTATTTAATTTATATTAACATATTGACTTGTTCTATTGATACCAAGGTGAAGATATAGTCCTATTCGGCAAAAATAATATTTTGGCCATTTTTGACTTATACTCTTTCTACCGAGCACCCTAGAATTATTGGTACGTCAATATTTAATATGCAGAGGCTGTATACTCTAACTGCTGCATATTAAAGCCAGACACAGCTGATATATTGATGTACAATTTTTAATAACATCCAGATTATCGCTTACATATAAAAGGGTAATAAGAGGCAGCCTTAGTCCGTTTGGTTTTCTGCTTTCCTTTAAATTTTTCTTTGCTTTCTTCATTCCTCTTGTTACTCTGCTTTCCTTTTTTCAGTTCCAGCTTTATTTTCTTAAGCCTTTCCTTTTCTTCTTTTTCTTTTGCGGCTACTAGTTTCATCTTAAAAGGGCTTGAGGTCAAAACTGCAGCTGTTTTCTCGTTTGATAATATTTGATTTAGGGGTTGGAATAATATCCTGTGGGCTTACAGCGAAAATATAGTGCCCCATTGCCTTTAGAGTTGCAAATTAAATCACATGAAGTACTGAAATAAGGCAGCGGACTGGGCTGGAATGTTGAAGTACTTGGCTTTGGCGAATCTTTAGAGATTAGAACTAGTGTTGAGTTTGGATCTCCAGATCCTACAGTGACATGTCTGTGGTCATTGAAAAACATAGAAACTAAAGCGTTGGATGCAGAGGTTGCTGGTCGAAAATCTATCTCTCCAGACGGCGGGTTCTCTTTACTTGTAAGTGGTGTCTCTTGAAGCCGAGGAATATTTTTTTGCGAGTCTACCAAATCTTTTCCTGCCACCACAGCAGAAGTTTCCTCTTGGTATTCAACAGCCAGTTTTTAATTTTCAGCTTCTTGCAGAGAGATAGTATCTTGTCTAGTCGGATAAAATCTGTGTTAGTAAACTTCTGTCTGATTATAGGAACTATGCCACATTTTCCAAACCTCTTTACCGCAATAGTTGGAGTAGCTGCAAATGGAAATGCCTCTCCAAGAAGTTTAGATACCTGATATTGTGTCACTAATCTACCAGGATTATTACAAGAATGTTTCTAAACATGGACATAATAAGTATCGAAGCTTATGACTACAGTGGGAGGAATGCAAACTAGCGTTGCATGATTTTCTCTAGCCCTTTCAATGAAATCTAGAATTTTGCACGAGTGGAATGTCCATCAAGTATGAGCAAAACTAGGTCGTCTTCGGATGGCTTCGCAAACTTCGAGAAATGGTCAAATTATTGTGTGAAAATCTCAGTTTGCATCCACCCTGAAGGAAGATGATAAAAGGAGTAATAAAAACTCGCCCAGCTGATACAGAAATTACAAATGTGCTGAAAACACCTCTCTCTGCAGATATAAGAGATCCGACTTGACATCGCCCTTTTAGAGTTAAAGCCTTCGAAGACTTTGACGGAATAATCATAAGTCCAGTTTCATCAACATTGTAAACCCTATGATGAGGATACAAGTAATGTTTTTGAACATCCTCCAAAATGTCAAAAAACTTGGTTACATTCGTTTTGTTAAATGCTTGTGCCCTTCCTACTGAAATCGTCTCAGGTTTTCTTAACACAAGCTCAGGATGGCGCTTTCTGAACCCAGTTACTCAATCTTTTCCTGCTAATTTCGTTTCTTTATTGAAACCATGGGGGATGGTCTTCCCCTACTTCAAAAAAAGTATGTATCAGCTATCTCGGCATTTTAATCAATGCATTCTATTGTTACTTAGACACAAACTTAACAATAGACACAATATTAACCCAGAAAATACAAAGACTTGAAGCATGAAAAAGAGCAATGGAACTAATGATGATGGGTATATCTTAATAGAGCAAAAAAGAAATGATTGAATAATAAACTAAACTAAAGTAAGGGACGAATAAAAAAATTCATAAACCTAAAGTGGAAGTCTGGAATATCTTGCAAGACCAGAAGATAACAAATTTAGTACAAAAATTAGTACATCGGACTAGCGCGATGCTTTATACTATATTTTCTATTTATTAAATCATTTAATTAAGAAATTAATATAAGTCATTAATATAACTCATTTCCCGATGGTTTATCTCTGTTGCGTATCACTTGAAAATGGAGAAAGAGCAAATAACATTTCGTATGTTGTGTTGCCTACTGTTAAGGTAGTAATTTTTATTTTATCAGCGCACAAAATTCTTCTAGTGTCCCCTGTGTGAAACACCTGTGTGCT